CCTTGTCAAACAAGTATAACAGAACTCCTCTATCTTTAAGAAGCTGTAGTAAGTACATTGCTTTTAGCTATAGTTGGTTGGGGTTTTTTTTCTTCATAGATACATAATCACTGACTTTCACTAAGGAACACTATAAAGGCAGCACCATCTAGTGGTACCAAAACCACAGTGTAGTATTGTCAGCGGTTTGCTTACGAAAATTACTTCGAAAACCATAGGGGAAACTCTCAGATTAAATTATTTTTAAGATACCCACATGCCATCTACTCTTTTTTTTAATTCAGCATGAACATGAATAAATAATATTTGCAAGCTCTGGGTATACATTTACTTATTTTCTTTGAAAGGGAAAAAGATATGTGAATGTGTATATCAATCACAGACAAAATATTTTCCTTTTTTTTGTGCATATATATATAAAAATACATATTCTTAAAATGATCAGGTATTAAAATAGTTATTACTCACACCTTCCCATCTAAGTTTATTATTTACTACTGCTGGTGTAAAATTTAGATGAAAACCTATATATGAACAATAAATATAGAGCAACTTTGGACCTCTTCCCTAGTATTTTCCAACACACATTCCAGGGAATCATAGTTTATATTGCTTCAATATATACAGTCCATGACACGGACAATCACCTTGCAAAAATCAGAAGGGTGTAACATGTAACACCAGTTGGATTTGTCTTCCACAGTGATTGTACTAGCATATGTATTTACATCTGTCCTAAGTAGCTGTAACAGTGCTATAACTATAATTTGGTAGCATTTTAAATCATCTTAGCATTTGCTTTTCACATGACCCTGTAAATCCTCCATTGATGCTTCAGGAGGTGAAAACCCCTCCAATGCATCTGCCTTCACGGGAGCCTGCCAGTGCAAACTAATGTCGTTCTGGAACGCAAAGAATTAGTGCTTTGTTATATCCCTTCAGTCTTTCTTGGGACATGCACAGGGGAAGTTTGGCATTACCAAAGATGTAAAACTTTGGTAATTATATGATAGCATTTTTTTAAGCTATAAACATTATCTGACAACATAACATAGGAAGGAAAAAACTCAATGATCAAAACCAGTAGTGGCCTTTGTTTTGGTTTTTTTAGTATATGGTGGAAGTTGCACACACATCAGGCACCCAGACTGCTCTTGCCTCATCCCATTTCTCTCACCCTCCCCATCCTCCCTGCACTCCACAGCTCACCTCTCCAGTTCCTCAACTTTGATCTCATGTATGCTTTCATACATTATCCATTTGTATAGCCCCAAGCCCTCTGCTCTACGTGGCCCTCCTACTCCCCTTGCCCAGTCCTCTGCATGACAGCACTCTTCTGTTTCTAGCTCCAAACACAGCCCCAGTGCCTACTTCTCTCATGTTCACAGCTGCCAGGCATGCTACTCTCCATCTTCACTGCCACATCAATGCTGGGGTATTTAAGGAGCTCATAAGTTTCATTCACCACTGGCATACAACTTTGCTGGAGTTGTGACTACTTCACCATTGACCTCATAGATTCTTTCCACGCCTATGTACCTACAACAGAGTAAGAAAAAATGGAAAATAGACTGACTGAATACAGTTAAGCAAACTGAATATAGTTAAGCAATCACTTTATAGAATTCTTTTCCCCATGCTCCATCATTTCATGGCTGGTTGGAGAATTTTTTTTTTTTTTTTGTCTTCACCATTTCTCACAGTAAATTTATTCTAAACTCTCATTCTTCTGACAGCTTGAAACTTTCTACACCAGTTTATTCATTGCTAGCTGGTGACACTTGTTTTGGGCAAGCATTGCCCTTTACCTTAAGGAGTAAACTCCTTAACTTGGAGGTGTTTGAAGAGAACATTTATCTCCTCTCTCGTCACCTTTCTAGACTAAGTATGTGAATATTTTTGAGGATACATTTAGTCTCTTGCAGACATCCACGTTTCCGCTACCTGCTATCTAATCCAACAGGAAGCAGCATAATCAAGCCAGCACAGTTTTGTGTCCAAAGAAACAAGTTCTCCTAAGCCCATGGTTACAGAGCTTCCAGATGTGCCAGGGCTTGATCTGCAAGCTTGTGGTCTGCTTAAACCACAGGGAGGCAGAGCAAAAAGCATTATAGTATAACCCTTTCTCCACTCACAGAAACTTTATTAACCTGATAATCTTAGTTGCCTTACCTGTTCAAATCAAACTTCTTGAACACATAACCACACTGTGCATAGCACCTAAGATGCAGTCTCACCTATTCTTCCCCAATCTCTATCAGAGATATCTCATACATTCTAGGCTGTATTTTTCATTATTCCAACACACTTGCAATTTCTAGTCATCTGTGATTACCTAGGTCTTCCTCTACATATTTCATTTTCAACTGGTGAGCTCCTCAAATAAATTCTTTTTATTCGATACATACATGTCTTTTGCTATTAAATTCCATCCCATCTCTCTTAAATTCTGGGTCGTTTGTTTTTTGGTTTTGTTTTGTTTTTTAAATACTTTATGCCTTCACTCTTCATATCATTAATACTCCTCTATGTATTAAGCAATTATCATTAATCAAAACATTACATTATAATCAGTCCTAGGGTATTTCTTGAGTAACTTTGCCAGTAACTCTCCTCCAGAATGACAGTACTCTTAATGTAATATTCTCTCTCTTTCAGCCAGATCATTACACACCTTAAATTCTTGTATGAATCCCCATCTTTTCTAGCTGAACTAGTAATTTCCCATGTAGCAGTGAATCATCCAGTTCTATCCAACAAGTTAAAAACTTTTAAGATGCTAAAGAAAACACAGTTATAAATAGCAATTAAAATGAGAACCAGGACTTGTAAATTCTGTATAAATATTTTATTATGTATAAAAGACAACTTACATGTATAGATGCTCTATTAAAACAAATCACAGGCTTTGTGTTTTCATGAAAAGATTTAAATGCTTTAAAGAGCATTTTAGAATGTCTCTTCCCTCTTCTACAGTGCTGTATTACTCGGGGACTGATAGCAAGTAGCAAATACACTGCAACATAGCAATGGCTGGTGTTTCTAATGATGCTATGACAATGGAGAAGGAGGGCACCATACAGATCCAAATTTGGTTCTGTGTTTCCCAAGGCAACAAAACCAGAGTTATGCAGTCAAATCTGCAGACTTTTAAACAGAGTTTTGCAAAACATCTCCTTTGGGATGTCAGACAGCTTGGGCAAATACAACTCTCTTCATTCTATTTAAGATGGGGGCAATTGGAAATAACAATGGGAAAGAAAAAAAAAATAACGTGAAGCATCAGAAGGCAAGTTCATTCAAGGAAAAAAAAACCCTCCACAGATTACCTGTTTTTCTTATAGTACATATATATGCTTAATACAGGATTAATATTTTAAAGACATCATGTAAGCATTTAATCTTCTCACAGATCATAACAATTTTGTTTAATGTTTGTTTAATGTTATTATTTTATATACGAGATCCATACAAAGATTTTTTTTTCTTTTGTCAAGACCTTGAAAAGGCACTACAAAAAGTAACCAAAATAATACAATGTGACTGTAATAGTTAGCTATGTGGAATTTCATGTACACCATTAAAACTACAGTGTGTTATTTAATTTGTAACCTGTCTTTGACTTCTTATAGCTAGATAGGCAAAGAAAAATGTTGTCATTATAAAAACTGAGTTGCACAACTTTTTTCTAACTCTGCGTATGTCTGAAAAGTTTACCATTATCAGTGTGTAACAACAGTCAGAGCCTGACATGTAAACAGTTAACTATACATAATTACACAGTTAATGTCATATTAGGATATGCAGGTTTGAGCATTGTTCAAGGCATAACATGGTCCCAAGGTATAAGGTTTCTTTCAAAAATGAGAACTAAAGTTAGTGCAGTGATACTAAAGTTATCTAAAGTATCATGCAAGAGAGACTTTTCTGTTAGATGTCATAGGAAAAATAAAATAATAATTTAAAAAAAACCTTTCAGGTGTCCACTCTTTGTATTAGACACTAGATAGTAAAAAAAATCTCCAGATACTTCAGTAGTCACATTTCCATTCTACAGAGGCAACTGTGCACCTGCCTATGTGTTCAGCATGTTACAATGGGAAGTTTCCAGTTCTTGCTGTTGAAGAACTGTGAAGACAGTAGTATTTTAATTAAATCACAAAAATGTAACAGCTACTTCATCTTTATTATTTACATTTGGTTTTGGCATAATATTAGCTAGAACAGTGAAAGTGGCTTGTGCTATTCCACTCAGCTTATGCTTTGGTGATGAGGACAATGTCTGGGTTCATAACTCTACAATGTGACATTTAAACTTTTAAGATTTATATATTTTTTTAAATTATACAGAAATGTTTTATGGGGATTATGTTTTGATACATTTTTAATTGTTTTGTAGAGCCTAAAGAAAGTGACATAAACTGTATTTTTTCTACCTTTACTTTTCATAGTACTGTATTAATTTTTTAATACATAGAGAGTAAATGTTTTTACAGACAAGAGGAAAATTATCTCATCATTTCAATGTTAGGTGGAAAGTTTTAAAAAACACTGGAGGACAAGAAACAGGAAAACACAAACTCATAAATGCAGCTAATCTGCACATATTATATAGTAATCCTCTTGCTCTCAAATAGACTCACTGAGTAGTTGACTTTTAAGACAAAGCAGTGTAACAAAACCACTGAATGATACCAACATGTCTGAATTTAATTTTGGGGTTTTTTCAATGTATGTGTTGGTATCACTAGAGATTTTTCAAGGTAAAGGGAAATTCCCAGTGCAAGAAGGAATTTTTTTCAGTATATATTTTCATATGTGTAATTATCTATTATAGGAGAGGTAATTTCTCTTATGTACTGCTAGAACTAAGGCAGAACATAATACTTGATCATTTTGCCAAATACCTACAAACCAGAGAACAAGCATGATTAAACATCCATAAGATGCAAGTTTGTTCCCATGAAAAATCACACAAGTATTTCCAAAACATTTGAGTCTCACTTTCTGTCAGAAAATCTCACATTGATGGAGTTTCCAGGAGTCAAAAGTCCATGGGTTTTGGCATGAACTGGTTCAGTTTTGGGAGAAATTTTGATCTCAAAATTCTGAAGCAACTGTGAGGATAAACAGGACAAGTATTAGAAAAGCTGCAAAATTACAGATGAAGATTAGACATTGGAAGAGAGAACATAACAGACTGTCACAAACAAAATTTCTGTTGCCAATTCTGTGGAGTCTAAGTGCTATGATTCCCACAAAGGAAAGAAAAAATAGTTGTTACAAGATTATAGTTAAAAACCTTCCTCTTCTGACTGAGGGGGGACTGAGCCAGTCCTTTCTGAAGAATTTCCACACAACTAGATTAAACACTCTGAGCTATCAAAGAAACTAAGGTCTCTTTCAAACCTTGCGAGCTTCTTCTCTATGTGGTTTTGATTTCAATTTCTTTAATATAAATCAGTATGTGCAATTATAAAACAAAGCAATAGAAGAGTCCCAATCCCATCACACACATTTCTCTTCCTGGGCAGAAGGAAACAAAACAAACATGAGACAGCAACTGTCCAGTGCACCAAGTGAAACAATCATAATTCAAGGAGTCAAATATTAGAACTTCTCTTTAACAGAATCACTATAATTCAATCACACACATTCTCTACACATTAAACCTCTATTTCCATACACTTAATGAAACTGAGACAATCAGTTGCAGACATAAATCACAGAAATCGTGGACTAAAACAAACTTCAAGAGATTTATCTCGCCCATTTTGAATCTGAACATAGAATACCTCAGCTACTTTTAAGCTTTCAAGAAGGAAATACCGCAACATCCTCAACTTTTCCTAATATTAAATCTCAAACGCTTTTTCCTATAAACTAAGCAATCTTCTCCTTCTCCTAGTAAGCATGATGAACAATGCATTATTCCCCTATACGTAACTACCTTTTCAGTGTTAGATGTTTGATCAAATTTTCATCTCATTCTTCCCTTTTTCAAACCTCTCATTCTTGTTATTCTCTCTTCCGCATTTCCTCCAATTTGACTATATTGCCCTTAAAAGGCACCAAACAGGGTCAGTTGCGTATCATTGTCTAGATGAGGATTCACCAGTGTTTGGTAAGACTGAGTAATTTAGCTCCTCTTTCTGACACACAACATACTTGTTAATACTGTTGATATACCCAAGAATTACACTGCCTTGTCAGAATCAGCATTGTTATTGTTGACCGATTTTTTACTGTATCCCTCCAGTCTGTTTCTATGGTACTAATAACCCAGCCAGGTGGTCAGCAGTTTGTATTTCTGCATTTGATTTCTTCTCAAGAGCAGTAACTTGCAACTGTCCTTAGTGAACAATTTTGTTTTGATTCTGGAACATTTCTCCCTTTTTTCTCAACTCTATATTCACACCTCTGATTTTAACTTAATTCACATCAGCTTGGTATCCTATGCAAACTCTAAAAGTATTCTCTAATCCATCATTTACACTATTAATGAAAATACCAACCTAAATCAAATGCAGGACAGACTCTTATAGAATTTTAATTAAATGCTTTCCCAGTTCAACAGCAAATATTTGACAGCTACTGCCTCCAGCTATTTCTTTTTCCCCAACCAGTTGTGCATGCATTTTATAGGTACTTCCATCTGGAACAAATTTTATTAATTCAATTGTGAGAAAAATGTATAGGATGTGAAAATACTTCCTGAAGTCAGAATACATTACTTATTTTATATCCACCACATTAGGTAAGTGACCAAGTCAAAGAAAGAAATCAGACTGGTCTGAAACAATTAATCTTTGATCAGCTCCATGAGTTTTTATTTTTAAATCACTTAAATAGCATCTCAATGCATGTAAGTAGGCTGTGTGCTATTTTGTTCTAATTTCTTTCTAGAAAACAAAAGCAGGGTTTCTATTACTTCTCTGATCCTCCTTTTCAAAAAGATGCAAGTATGTTTGTTTTATCCAGCCCCCTGAGAGTTATCTCACTCCGAGTTCCGAAAGACAGATGCTAATTGTGCAGATATTGCTCTAGGAGTTTACTTAAGGAAATTCTAAGGCAAATTCAATCAAGGTTTGCTTTGAATACATACAATGGGTCTAAATATTTTTACAGTTAAGTACCATAAATAGTTTCCAAATCTTTGAGTGTCGTTTGCATGGTCTGAGCTCAGTGTTTGAGTTAAAGGGTCTCTTGTAAATGACAAAAAACTTAGCAGCTGTTGGGAAAGCTTTCTTTATGATATGAAACAATGCAAAAAAATATATATCAATAAGTACTGACTACTTACATAACTATAAGTTATGTATATCTAAAATGATAATAAATTTGGAAGAAAGAACAAGAAGGGACAGAAAAACACAGAACATAGACAAATTCTACTATTTGTCGTAACACTGTGGTCATTACAAGGATATAAAAACCTTTTTACATCTTTGTAAAGTACTGAATTCTTTGCAACTAAAATACTGAAAACTGAGCAGGTAACCATTCTAATGCACATTAAGGCAGACTTCCAGTTTGCTTACAAAAAGCTTCTGTACTAAATCCATATATTTCCTTAACAATCTTACCTTTAGTTCTACTTCATTTGTACTATAGAGGATTTTTCTTCTGCAATGTAGTTTAACTAGTATGCTACATTTCAAGTATGATTATTTTCAATTTTTTAAGCCTTTGCAGGATGAGTATGCTAGACAACACTCCAAAACAAAGTTTTTGTGCGCTGTAAGATATCCAGAAATTATATACATAGAAAAGAATCATACCAATATATTTTTCTTCTTGTAATGCTGTCACATAGTTCTAACCTGAATCAGTGCAAGATGAATTTCCAGCTCTGCAATTCTTTTTCCTATACAACTTCGAATGCCATAACCAAAGGGGATGGAACCAAAATTGTCTACTCTGTCCAAATTATCTTTCCTCAGCCAGCGTTCAGGTTGGAACTCATTTGCCATTGAGAAATTTTCTTCGCTGTATGAAGTAGTATAATGACAGAGTGCCAGCTGCGTCTGAGGAAATAAATGATATTTATATTTATATTTAGCTAACTCCAACACACATAACAAAATAAAAAAGCATTTGTAATTACTGTAATTACTGCAATATGAGGTGATAAAAATTAAGTATCTTTGAGTAATTCTATAAGAAAAAAGGATACCTAGAAAATCAGATCCCCTTCTCAACTGGTCAAATGAAATAATCTTCAAATTGTTTTAAATGTTGCTGGATATATTAGAGAAGATGCAGTCACAAGTATTGGGGATTGTCTCAAAAAGACAGTATGAGAGAAAGGGAGAAGAGAGATACAAGACAATGGAAAAGGAAAAAAATGGAGGATGAGAAGAAGAAAAAAAAAACCACCTCAGGAAAAAAACCAGTAATAATTGATGTGATGATGTTTCCAAATAAATTCAGGGGGAGGAAGGAGGGGATGTGTGTGGAATAATAATTAAAGTAGTATATTAAGAATTAAGAATCCTGACTGTTTTAAAGCTACGTTGCTCTAACACAGAAGCGCTGTCATTTAAATTAGAGCCATACAGTTCTACCATTATTTCTGTGTAATCTTTGACTAGTATAAAGCAAAGATTCATAATTTAAAAAGGAAATTAAACTCTTTCTACAAAGGGAATTAATAGGCAGAAAATTAGAAAACTGCAAGAATAATGAATGTTTTTTTCATCCAATTGTAACACTGCACAGAGATGTTATCAGTAGACTCCACCCTCAAGAATATTAAGCACAAGTCATGATGGTAAATTTGATTAGCAGGTGAGGACCCAAATCTAAAAAAAACCAACAGCAACAAGTCAATTACAAAATCCATTTCTGTCATATAAATAGGTATTACTGAAATACTTTCCTCTTACTGCTCTGGCTTGGTGAAATCTTTTGAAATCAATGAAGTGGTTATGTGTTGTAACAAATCACATTTCATACACAAAAATTAAACTGTGTTCTCTGCAGAGGACTGCGATAGAACCTACCCCTTTAGGTATCAAGTATCCTCCAACGATCAGGTCTTTTTGGGTTACTCTTCCATTTCCTGGCAATACTGGATATAACCTAGACACAAATATTTATAAGAAGTTCAACAGTAATAACTAATACAACTTAAAAATTTCCAATTTGCATTCACAAATATGCAGTATGAATGCAATATGCATTCATAGCAAAAAGGTTTTTCAAAAGTACAGAACACCTTGGAGATTCAAAGACCTTGAATCATCTGTGAGAATATGATTAATACCTGAGAAAAGTTATTTACTAGTAACTGGAGGTTGAGCTATTTGGTCTATATATTTATTTGCTTTAAACATGTACAAACGTGCAACCAGCTGGTCAGGTCAAGCTGGAGACATTTTAGCACTACTGAGAGCTGAAAAAGCCTTGTTGATGCCTTCTCTAAAATCCTCTTACTCCCCTCACCTCACTATGAACATTTGGTATAAACATATTAAAAAAAGCATGTCACATGCCTTCAATTTAAGTCAAGAAGCTTAAAATAATTGTAGTGGCACTGCAAAGTACCACTTTGCAATAATGTGTGGGGGAGGAGGTTGTTACACTCCATCATGCAGACTAATACTTAAAAGGAAAAAAATCAAGCTTTCAATTACCTACCTTAACAGGCATGTCCTACAAATGTGATACTACTTCTACCATACTTAAAATCATTAAACATTATATAAACAATTATATTTCATTGTTTGGGCATCCTTGGGCACAATACTGCTACAATAAATAAAAGCAGAAGCAGCAAACAGCAGTTACAACAACTAAACACAACCATTAGCATGGACTCAAAATCCATTACAACTACATGGAATTAAATTTTTTAATTAATGATTGCAGTTGTCTGCTACTTACCTCAAGGTTTCTTTCAGCACAGCTCTAATCAAAGGCAATTTTGGGACATCATGAGCAACAGGAACTTGGTCTTTCCCCAGCTTATTGACTATTTCCTCATAAACACGTTGTTGAACCTCAGGGTGCTTTGCCAGCAAGTACGTTGCCCAGGTCAAAGTAAAAGAAGTCTAAGGAAGAAACCACAACCATCATCATCATCAAGTCCAACAAGATTAGAATAAAAATAATTGCAAGCCAAGAAAAACGATCAGTTTTCAACTACGTGTTTTATACGATTAAAGTTATAAAACAGACGAGCAATGATTCACATCTGGACTCAGTGGGATGTTGTCAGACTTCACCATCCCCTCCTTCATCCCTTTTCCATCTAAAACCTCCCCACATATCAAAACAACCCATGCTGATATTTTCCCAGTGAAATATTAAAAAGCAACAGAAAAAACAAATCAAACAAAACTACATAAACAATACTGAAATATAAAGGCTCTAAACAGCAATGGATTAAGTTAACTGTTAGTTTTCAGTATGTTTCACCTTTCTTCCCAACAAAAACATTTCACAGGAAGACAATACTACTCGGAACATTACCAAGCCCTTTTAAGCATATGGTGGTCTCCTCATAGCATCCACACAACAGAACTGATATTATCACTGCTAAGATTATACTTTGCCCTTTGATAAGGAATGCTACACCACAATTGGCACTTTCTACCTCTTGAAAATTCCCACTTCACTGAAATTCAGCATCCTATTGAAAGCTTTCTTAGGGAAGCTCAAAGAGGAGCTTATGTATCTAAAGTGGCCCCAAAATGTTAAAATATACCCCCCCCCCCAAATTAATGATTCTAATAATCATTAAGGCTCCAGAAAAGAGGTACTGTGTGAAAAATCATTTAAAAATATTTTGTCTGAAGGAATAAACAGACCACAAGGCAGAATACAGTTCAACTTTGAGCACAAGGTGATTTAAAGGAACCCATCACCTAATCTTCTTTCACCTCAGCTGAAAAAATTGCACTTCAGTGCACATTTGTGGTTTAGGATACACTCTGAGAGCATGAACTCACTCCATCTGTATGAACATGGAACTAAGTAGAGTATTTCAACTCTTTATTTGTGATCCAATATTTACCATTCATTTAACCATGAGTCCCTGTGTTTAAGCTACCTGGATTTCAGGGACTATTCCATTCAAATACTAGACAGAGTCAGGACATTTTGCTTCTACTGTCAGCTGCACCCAAGACATTAAGGTTAAGCAAACGGCCTTACCTGAGGCCGTTTCCCTCACAACCATCACTGAAGGCCAAAAGTTAACCATGAAAAATGTGTTTTCTGTGTTCCTGAGTAAGTATGGCAGAGGAAGTGACAATGTAATAATTCTGTGCCTTACCTGTGTTGTTCTTAGTATCTTAGAGCATTTAAGCGAGAAAAATTGTAACCTCTACCCTAATTTTCTTGAATTATTTTTAAATGTATTTTTTTCAACTTGTATAACTCAGACAACCAGTTTCACTTTCTAAGCAGGGAACAGTTTTATTTTCAGCTTCCCACTCATTGGCACAGCAACGCTTAAGGTTACAAACAATGTATGGGTAAAAAAACCAACTTCTGGAAATTTCTTATTTAGGGCTTACATTTAAGATCAATTTAGAATGCAAATTCATCATGATGGTGACCTTTTGTGTCTTGTCTTCAAACTGGGGTATAATACTAGAAGTATAATTCTCAGAAACTTTCTTTTCCTTTTTCTTCTTGTGATATTGAGTGGCTGTCCCTTGCTAAAATGCAACCCTGCCCAACTCCTCTCAGAGCTCAGAGGAGCTGGCAATTGTGCCAGCTGTATACAGAACTTCTCTGATATAAACACTTTTTCTTCCCAGGTTCCCAGCTCCTTCATGACCCCTTAAAAATTAGCACTGTTCCAGGGACAGCCAAAATGCTTTGTAGCCAAAAACTGCCTTACAATTTTGTTGAAAACTTTTATAATCTTCTAAACCTCTTTAATTTTCTATGATAAAATGAGATCTCAAGTGACAGCAGTAGGGGAAAAAAGGTCCCCTCAATTTCTGTCTTGTACTTGGAAATGAGGAAATCAGAAGTACCGTCCTCTCACAAAATGATTGTTGCCAGCTGAGAAAGCTGAGTCAAAGGGAAAGAAAAACTCTTGCTGGCATGAACTTGAACACTGCCTTTTTAGTTTAATGAAAACTCTCTCACACACTAAAAATGGAAAATTAAGGGTCTGAAAGATTAGAAAATGAATGGGATGAATAACTGTGCTTTACTTAAGAACCAAACATCAGAAAGCTTTCCAAACTCACAAGCTCTTGGGATATTTAACCAATGGAATAACCCTCAGCGCATAAATAAGCTTTACATATGCTCCTTATTTTGAAATTCAAAAGTATTGCTGTTGGGGGTTTTTTTTTGTTTTCTTTAGAAACCTTACAAACTTTCTTAAATGAAAAAAATCTGAATTCAATTATCCCGAGAGTTTTTTTTTACTGAAAGGCTACTTCACTTTTTTACTTATTTTAATCTTTTCTACTGTAAGACTATTAAACACAGTCCTACACAGCACTTTCTCAAATTAATATAGATTTCTTTTAAAAAAAATGCTTATTTACAATAATAGTGTTCATTGATATTCTACTTAACTCCATATACATTGTATATACAATACAATAAATAATTTTTATCCTTTCTTATCCTTTTGATTGTCATGCTGTCATCAATACTAAGCTAGACTGATTTCACATGACAGGAATAAAAGGAGGGTAAGATATATACATGACCTTAATGTTTCTTCAAATGCTGTAGACGACACATCAGAATAAGGAAACATGGCCACTTAAAATGCTTCACCAGATGTTAACACACCTCGTACACTAACCTCATTAATGCTGAGCCCCATCACCACACCTCTTGGTCTCAGACTGGCTGTATGTTGCCAGCACAAGCATGGGTGGCGAACTTATGCCTTACCCACATTAGTGCTGGCTAACACCCCCCTCCTAATGGACTTCAGCACAAACCAGGTATCTGATCCATAATGTGTGTCCCAGCTGATTTAATTAGCCATATGTAAAAATCCTTTACCAAATTCTACACACGAATTTATTGATCAATTTTTTTCCACTAACTTTCAGCAGCCTTTTCTATTGTGGTCTACCTAAAGAAGTACAAATACCTACCTGATGTTCAAACCAGGAAACGAAGACGTATGAAATTCAAGCTGAATGTAAAGAGAATTGTTATTTTATCCATTTAATAAACTGTGGAACTGACTCCCAAATGATGGGTTCCTGTAAACCACAGCTAGAACAGAACAACACTGACTTCATTCTAGTAGAGAGTAAGTGATGTAACTATTTTCTATCATTTTAAAGATGCAATGACTTAAATGTATCACAAATTATGTCAACATAACCCCCCTAAACATAGCTGCAAATGGTACTGGTTTACAAAAACAATTGTGCACAAGAAAAACAGTAACAAGCTTACTGTGTCCACTCCTGCCAGAAGCATTTCAGTCATATTGGCATAGATCTCTTCCAAAGTAAGTTCCTTACTCACTAGGAGGTACGTAAGTAGCCCACCATTTACTACTTCTCCTTGGTCCAGCTGAGACTGAATAGCCTTCAATTTGTTGTCAACATGGATTTGACCTTTGGGATTCAGAAAAACTGTTAAGCCTCCATTTTTATTTTTCTGCTGGTTCCATTCAGTAATGACATTTCCCCCTTACACTACACTATATAGCCATAAAAAGACAAAATATTTGAAACTACTTTCTCAGGGAAAAGATAATAGAGTGGTGGTGGAGGTCCTTGGGTACTCACGGTAGTGAAAGACAGAGCTGACAGGAACCTTGGCAGCTCACAGCATGGGAATGCTGAACATGAGGAAAGGACACAAGAGACTATAGTTTCTGACTGGGAGTGAAGGAAGCTCAAGGTCAAGTTTTTACGCCCACCTGGCTTGTTTTCTGATGACTCTGCAAGAAGTGGTGAATTCTGCAGAGCATGCTGCAAGTCAGCACAGAGTGGCTGCTACAAGACAATAGCAACAACCAGAAGGTCAAAGCCACAGAACAGAATCACAGTGAAGACAAAGATGAGGAGCATCAAGTAATGACAAAAACTGAAAAACTTCAGAGAATGATATTTTGAGCAATTTCCCCCACAGTCCCATTTAGACTTTAGTGACTACAAACAGCATCTTCAGTGAAACAAGGGCTTTAAACAGAAGAAAAATCCTCAGAAAGTTAATGCCTCGCAGAACGATCTTACAAAAAAGAAAAAAAAAAATCAACATGTTCCTTTATGAAACCTACACAAACGCACACATCACATCAGCGATTCTCACCATTTTCACAAAGGGATTAGGCAAAGAAACAGCATAACAAGTTTCAAACGGAACAAATTCCTCAAGAACAGTTTTTCAGCTGCTGTTAGGATAAAGCTGAAGTCTGCTGCTGTTTTTAACCCACAAAAGAGAACAAGAGTGCTTTATCATGGGAAAAAAATTAAAAGCAGCAGTGTAAAAAAGTACAATTCGCAGAAAACGAACCTGTATCAGCATTAAATGCATTCCCTAATGCCTACTGTAGGTACAGATCAATACATACTAAAAATTAAGCATATTAGGCATAAAGTTAAGAAACTAAAGAATCTAATCTCAAGAATATGTACACAGACCTACCTAGACAAATAGTGATAATAGAATAAATTTAAAAATGCATGCAGCTTTCTAACATTAGAGAGGGAAAAAGAGTTCATGTTTTTTTAAACACTCCAGAATATTAAAAAAATATATATTTCAAAGACAACTCCTTCTTCTTACATACATTAAAGCTGATTAAGTAGCCTGGAATGCTTTATTCACAAAAAAACCCATATTGTAGTACAGCAGTGTACTTCCATGTCAACTTATGTGCTTGTATGTGTATATATAAACTTCACAAATAGTTTAAACATCCTTTAACTTTTTAGAGAGTTTTAGTGGTGATTATTTGTCAGAGTGCCTGACTGAAAACTTGTTGAAGTCAACAAAACGACCCTCATTAAAATTTGAGTGGCTTAAGATAAAGCCTTGGCAAAGAACTCAGACCTGGAGTGAGGACTGTGTGCTGAAACCAATGAAGACAAATAAAGAAACAGCAGTATGAAATAGGGGACTATTTAAAGTGTACTGGTAAAACTTTTTTTCAGTAGAGTATTTTTTGAAACGGTTCCCTTGGCCAGTCTGAGTTTAATATGAAACTTACTTCTACCACAATGTCTTATAATTTTAGAAGAGAAATGCAGCAAGTCCTGTTCAAACACACACAGAATCTGCAGAAATACAGCTGAACTTTTCTACTACTAAATCTTACTAAATTTGAAGAGTCCATCCCAGGATCTGCAGAACTCTCTCCAGGGTTTTGGAATAAGTGGACGAAGCCATTTGGGAATAGCACCTGCATACATAGTGGTCTTAAACATACTAAACATCAACTCCAGAGCCTCAATATATTCAACAGTCTGCTGTGGGATGTTGTTTTCCAGGCAGCCCAACCGGGATTCATACAGAATAGTTGCCACACCTGCACATATGAAATCAAAGAATTTGCTATACACATGCATATATACATTTTAATAATTTAGGAATTATAACGCTAACACAATGGAACTACCTTCCACAAATGTTCAGTTATCACTGCAGTTGGGAGCAGGTACAAGAGAAATTTAAAACACAGTAAAAAATCCCAGCTAAACCTTGTAGCGAGACAGTGGCTACTATGTCAATAAAGCTCAGCATGAGAAGACAGCCCTGAATTCCACCACAAGTAAAGCAGCCCTCCAGCATGTTCACTGTGTTTTGCACTGCACCACGAATCCTGAGCCTGCTGTCGTGGCTTCTGAACACACAGGGACATACAAGCCCAAAGACATTTCTGATAACTGGTGATAACGCAGGGGGTTCTAGCAGCGGCTATGCCTTTCTTCGTCATAAGCTGGCAGTAAATGAATCATGAGTATGCATGAATGGATAAAGAGCTTGCACTCTAGACAGTAATTTCACTGCACACAATGTACTCCATGTGGCCCTGAAAAACAGCAAGTGCGTGACGCTGTTCCAAGTGACAATATTGACTCGTCTCTGGTTCCTGACTTGCTATAATTTCCTCATATGTTTTGTCTGCAGTACTGCAGTGATCCCTACCAGAAATACCATTTCTCCCCCCCTAAAGAACAGTACTTTATATATATATTTTTTTATTAAA